AGAATGGGTTCATTATAACACCACATGAGTAACTCTTTTAACCACCTAGAAATCAGACATTAAACAGTCAAGTTTTTATTTTCAAGGGTCTTTGTTTTGAATAAAATGAGGCAGTGGTTTTTAAAATCTGTCAATATGTATTTTTCTTTCCTGAGTTTGACTTTATTCCCAGTGAGCTTATCTATCTTGAGGTAGAGGGTAGAGAAGGAGGGAATTAGAATTGTTACAGCAGGAAAGAAGGAAATTCGTGTTGAGGTTTTTTTCACTTTGAAGACAAAATAATAGGCTTAAAAGTCACTTACTGTGAAAAAAGGATTTTATAAATTCCTTTATCTCCTCCTGCACTATAACAAGACTCGGATGTTGGTTGTAACTGAAACCTCACTTCATCTCCATTCTCTCCACAGCTTGGTTGTTCATGGCTCCTTCCTTTAACAGAAAAATACCCTAGTGTTCTTCCACTACTAAGCTAGTTTGAGTTTCTGTGACTTGTTGCTAAGGGTTCTAAGTCTTCTCAGTTACAAGAATTTTTTTAAAAGCCTGAACTTTGTGGGTCTCCGCTTCACACGATAGCTGTTTTATTAGCAGTATTTTGACTGAGAAAATCTAGCCAACACAGATCGATGGGCAGAAGGATACAATGAATTCAGTAATGCTTATGAATGAACTTTTATTCATCACATCAAGATGTATATACACAATATTTGTAAAATGGGAGTGCCTGCAAGTCTAAGACTTTGTTTATTCAGTGTATAAATGATGCTTGGGGACCATAGGGATTTGTAGATTCCTTGAAATGACTTGTCGCTCCACCTGCCTATTCCCAGACCCAGAGATGCTTCCTTCACAGGTTGGCAGCCACTGCTTTAGATTACCTTCTCCCCAAAGTCCTTCTCATCTGATTTGAAATGAGCGCTTTCCTGCCTTTCTCCAAGACCCCATTGGATTTACTCCAGCTCCTAAGTACCTCTTGACCCCATCCCACGCTTCTACACCTGCTGCCGTCCAGGCCCCGCTTGCCCTCACAGGCACTGATGCGACAGTCGGTCTACCTGGTCTCTCTTCAGGTCTGTTCCTCTCCAGTCCGCACTCTGTACTGCAGGTGTTTCTCATTGTGTCGTTGCCAGAAACACTGCTGCTCCTGTGTCCCAGCGGGACAGCTGGGATACCTTTGTTTCCGTCCCACTTAACTGCTCATGTTCTGCAAACATGTCTTGTGCCTTTTGCTTATGAGCTTTTGTTTGAACCAGTTCTTCTGGCTAGAACAGTCTTTCTCCTACACATGGCAAGTTCATGCTCAGCTCAGATGTCACCTATGAGAGTTTGTCAATCAACCCCCACAAGCCTCCTGGTCTGTGATAGCCATACCTTTTCCCGGCATCCTGTAAGCACCTTGGTGCAGGCTTTGGTGAGGGACTTCTCGCCACGTGGGCACTGTGGGGAAAGGAACAGTTAATCACATTTCTATCTCCGAGCACCACAGACAGTGCCTGGTGCATAGCAGATGCCCGATAAATGTTTACTGAACAAACTGATGTGGATTGGTATGCTTATGAGTACTGGTCTCTTGGAGACTAGCTCCTGAATAAGATTCAATGTTATTTTATTATAAAGCCATGGAGATGGAACAAGAAAAACCTGTTAAAATTATTTTCCCAATTGTTTTTTCCCCATTTCAGTCTCTTTTGACATTTTTTTCTCCCCAATAAGACTTCATTTTGTCCGATTGCAAAAACAACACATAGCTTAGTATTTATAAGGACATCAGGCTCGCGTTCAACTTTTGCTACTCAGTGGCTGTGTGCTTGTACACAGTACTCGATCTCTTTGTGCCTTCATTTTCTCATCTGAATAATGGAGGTTGTTATAATAGTTCTTCCTAAGACAGTCATGAAGATGAAATTAGTGTATGGAAAAGCCCAGCACAGTAACCTGGCACGTGATTGCTCCATCAATATGCACAGCTGACATTATGGTCAATGCAGAAAAAGTCGTCTGTGAGAGCGGGGATACAGCTGGAGTCTTTGGCCCAGGATCTTCACTGCACTGCATTAAAAAACATAAATCTGACTCCAGAAGCCTTGGATAAGAGTCTTTAGGACAGCCTTTCTCAACCACGGTTCATGTGAACCACAAAGCTCAAAATGACCAAGTGACTCTTTTCTCCCCTGAGGATGCTACATACAAGCACCATTCTGGATGCACACGAGAGCTGGCTGACGGTATGCAAAACTTGATTGAGGACACTGGGGTGTAGGCCTCTCCCCACCCCCTCCCTTCAGAAAGGCCGCTCTGCTGCTGCTTGAAGACCTGGGGCAGAGCTCAGCACAGTGCTGCTTGTCTTCCGTGGAAACCTCATTTTCTCCAGCCTTCTCCGGATGGCTGATAAAAACCTCTCCCTGCGCACCTCCCTCACCCATGTGATACGTTCCTAGAACCCCATTCATTTGTTCTTAGTCCACATGGTGCTCCCCACATAGCCAGCAGTTCTGACAGGTGTCCCCTTCTCTTGAAAGAACCTGTGTCTCCTGACCCTTGTGTGCCCTCTTTCCTCGGGAATCGCTGTGAAGCGTGTCGCCAAGAAATGCATGTCCATAACTGGACTCTACAGCAGGAAACACTGACATTTTCCCTACACTTACAGACTTCTAAAAGTCCTCTGGCTACCTTGCCACTGCCAAATTCCTCTTCTTGACAAAAACTATAGAATTCTCTGGGCACTTAATCTAAGCGCGTCATGATTTGTGCTGCTGAGGCTTCCAAAGATGGGTGCTGTACGGCAGAGCAAATCTGCCCTTTTGGAGCCATTCCTACGTCCTGTTGCTCTTCAGTGCCGACAAAGCTCATGCTGCCTCCCAGGAAGGTCCCAGGCAGCTTTCTTGTTGGGGAGGGCCACGAACAGTGGATGGAGGAATAATCCTGGGTAGGCAACGAGCACTGTCTACAATCCATATAATGGAATTATCATATAGCCATTACCTTTTGAAGAATATTTATTGACATGGGAAAATGCTCACAATATATTAAAGAAGCAAGCAGGATACAAATCTGTAAATACAGTATGATCCCAGTCTTGTAATAAAATAAATTATATATGCATAGAAAAAATACAGGACAGAAATACACTAAAACATTAACAGTGATTATCTCGGTGCTGGGATTTGGGTGACTTTAACTTTCTGCATTTTCCAAACTTTTCATAATGAACATATATTCATAGGTTACTTTCATAATGGCGGGGGTGGGGGAGAAGTCCATACAGGTGACACTGGACACCTAGTATTGGGAGGCAGTGAGACTGATGTGGTGTTGAGGAACTACTCAGTACTTGCACTGCCGCAGGCGGTGTCCTCATTTATAAAGGAGGGAAGGTAACCCGTCTGCCCACCTCCCAGGACCACGGGTGTGGGAAAGGGGCCCCGCACGTCTGTCAGCTGTACTCAAGTGCCTTGTTGTAGTACTTGCATGCCCTGCGTCAGAGGGCAGGAGGGCTACGGACACGCGGGCCATCTGTATGCTCATCCCAGCTGCGGGCCGTCACGGCAGGCATCTGTCTGGGCAAGCCTGCAGCCCTGGTCTCTGACCTCAAGGATTCCAGGTCCTTGTTTGAAAACCAGTCCTGTGCAAGTCTTCCACTCACAGATCCACTGCAGGTCACCTCCCTGCTTATACTGTTCCTTAAACTGGTTCTGCTGGGATGGTTATTGCTTAAAATGGCCTGAGAATGCCCGCCTGCAGCACTCCAGAGTCCTAGGAGGCCCCAGGTAGGGTGGTGAGGGGAGGGAGGGAGGTGTTGGGAGTCAGGCCAGCCAGACTTGGACTCCTGTTTGCAGTGACCCTGGGAAACTGAGGCCTGCGGGGATGGTCTCAAACAGGAGATGTGATGAGGTTACTTGCAATAAGAGACCTGAAAAGCCCAGCACATAGTAAGGACTGAGCAGACGTTAGTTTTCTTTCCAGGGGCAAAATGAGGTCCTTCCTCTCCCCCTGCAAATGCTCTCTTCAAAAACAAAGCCTAGTACTTAGTGCCCGGTGCAGGGAAACGCCGAGTGAAACACACTCCTTGAAAGCAGGAGGGCGCAGCTACTTAAGCAGGACTGTTCTAACGCTTCCTGTGCTGCCAAGATGCTCTTTCGGTTAACATGTCTTCACATAGGTAAGCCGACGCTCATGCCAACGCTATTTGCTTGTAGAAATTATAAAAATACTTTAAAAACGCATTTGTAGATGACGTAACAAAAATATTTTTTCTAAACTTTTTTCACACAATCTAAATTTATGAATTGCCGAGTTTCATTTTATTTACTGTTAAAACATGGGTCACCCACCACTTCTCTATCTGGATGAAAATCCTGAAGTATATTGTATTCTTCCTAGCCTTTCACTCCGGAGTATTCTGGACTTACTCAGCTTGGTAAAGTACAATCCGGGTCCTCTCTCTGAGAATTTGTGTATGGGCCATGCTGTTGGTACAAGTGCTTTCTGGGCCCACCAGGGTCCTTTGGGAAACAGACCGGCCCAGACCTGTGAGGCCGGTGTGGATTTCCTCCTCCTCCCTCCCTATCCGGTTTTCAGCGGGCCTTCAGCGGCTTTCGGTAGACCTGCCTTCTATTGAGCAGCCACCTCCTCTGCCGTTTTTTTTTTTTTTTTGAGTTATCTGGCTTTCAAGCCCACTAAAAAATCTGTTAGAAATGTATGCAAATTTTAGTAAAGAGGTAAAAGGAGAGATTCTTGAGGATCTCTCCTATGAGTAAATTGCAAGAAACTCTAGTGACTTCTTTGGCAGCTCAAAGGCCTTTAAAAACTGCATCCTTTTACTGTTTTGTCAGAGAAGGGATCTCTGGGTAAATGACATTTTCCACCAATACTCCATGTACTTTACCTATCCTTAGAAGGGGTATTATGGTAAGTGAGATAATGGATGTGAAAACACTTTAAAAAGCATAAACTCTGAACTATTGTTTGCCCCATGTATCTGTAAAGAAACACACACAGATGGCTAAATTGAATCAACCCCAATGTTTTATTTAATTTAAAGTTTTAAAAGGCAGTGGTTAAGCACATTATCTATGTGTATATATGTACGCATGTACGTACATGTACATACATATATACAAGGGAACCAACCCCTTTCAGCTTTAGCCACTGATTAACTAGGCCCACTGTCTATTGCAGGATCCATATTCTACTTCTTCATATGACCAATTCTAAAAGTAAAAATAAACAGCCTTAATCAGTTTAACAGTAACTATTTGTGTTTCTTTTTTTTTAAATAAATAAAGTTACCATTAAACTGATCACATATGGTAGAAAGGTCAAACACACACACAAGCGCACACACAGTCCCAATGTACAACCTGTGACCTATGAATGACCTGTATGTACAAATGGGTGCTGCTGACCCCCTCCACCCCCAGCAGAGGCCATGAGAGAACTCCCAGCACTCCGGGAGTCCCCATCCTCTCTGCTGGGTCGGAGGACGTGTGTTCCTAGCACCCCGAGTCAGACCTCAGAATGCATGCTCCCATGCAATGATACAGATGGGGGTTCAGTTCTATGGTACTAGTGTTAAGGTACGTAAGAGAATAAATAGGCATCTGTAGCTGCCTCAGAACTAAACCATCATTTATAACCCTTTAGAGGGAGAAATGTATTCTGAAGTTCTCGATAAGGGACCTACAAACTTTTTAGAATGTAATCAGTTTGCAAGTCTGGGGCTGTGTGTGTGCGTGTTTGTGCATTTCCACATATTTGTACAAAATTGAAGAGTGGGACTAGGTTTATGGAGCAGCTGCTTGGCTTCCATGTAGTCAGTCCTGATCTAACAAGTCACTTGCCTCAGCCCTTATTTAGCGGCTCATTCTGCTTCTCACATGGCTCCGTCTGCTGGAGAGATTCAGAAGGGGCAGCTTTCACAGGCGAGAGAGGAAGGCCACGACTACATCTTCTAAGAACCTTGGCAAACAGAACGGCCAGATTCAACCAGGGCTGCTTTATAGGATGAAGTCCTTCAGTTCCATCCCGATGAAATGGAATTCCTCTTCTTCCGTGGTTAGCCCCTGCCACTCCATCTAACTGCAGCTCTGTACGAACGCCTCGGTATCGTGAAAACACAGGATCACCTCTTAAATATGCTGGATTCTCAACGAGTAAACCAGTTAATGTGTTTCTAGCCAAAGCAAGGGCATAAATGTTTTAGAGAAAAGACTCCCCTGGAGCTACAGAGAAAAGATGCTGATAAAAGCAATATTGAGAGTTGGGCAGGTGACGCTTTTAGTCTGTGTCAGAGCTGGTCTCTTCGATGACAGAGTACTGGTTGAGTGCTTCCTCCAAAGGCGTTATTGTCCCATCAGGTTTTAGTCCCATTGGTTTAAGCAACTCCTCTCTGGAAAAAGAGATAAAAGAGAGAAAAAAAAAAGTATTCACCAGCATCACACACACACCCCTCCCCCCGCCCAAATCCACATCCTTTTAAAAAGAAAAGTCTTTAAAAACCAAAGTATTTTTCCTCAAGCTCTCTGTGTGTTTGTAACAGGAAAGATGAAAGGGGCATGGAAAGAAAAAGAGGGAGATAAAAGACTTCATTCACACAGGCCAAACCTACTAAGCCAATTAAAAGTATGAAAAGTCAAGGTCTAAATGGGCTCAGGACAAGGAGCAGGTCTCTTCTGTTTTTAATAATTAACTTTTTTTCCTTTTGTGGATTCGTTGTTTTAGTGAAGTTGAAGCTGCCAAAATTTCACGGGTCCCAGTGGGCCAGGCATACAATCAAGTGCCTGATTTGATACGTATGGATTTCGTTCAGTGGAATAAATGTCAGATTTGATTTTGCCTCTCCAACCTCTAGCGATACATAAGTACTTCTCGATTCAATCCAAGTCAACTGGACTTCCCCAACTTTCTCCCTCCCTTTTATTTCCTTCTCTCTCTCTTTCCTTTTTTTTTTCTTTTTTAAACACCATTGCTTTTGTTTGTGGCAGTTTAATTATGGGATTGACAGCCATTTTAATCTCTTCAAAGCTCCCCAACTGCCTCTTTTCAGCTAATCCAATTATATCTACTCCACAAGTTACAGCCTCATCTAAAGATGATTAATTATTGATTAAGTCAATCAAAAAGCATTAGGAAAGATTTATTTAATCTTTTCATAGGCTCTTATTTATTACATGGAGATTATGGCAAATGTACCTGTTGAGTTGCTAACTCTAGTCCTCTTCCCACCCCCAAAATGTCAGCAGTGTAATTTAAGAGTAGCCTCAAAGAGGCACATGAGCTGCTTAAAATTTATTTCTCAAGGAAATGGGCATCACCCGCTGAGAACATGTCTATAACCAGGAAGCCCCACAGCAGCAGCTGTAATGCTGGCGGGATCTGGAGTGGAGGGGACACTAAAACTGCTTTCCCTCTGCCTCCTTGCTGTTGTCCCGGAGGGCAGCACAAAGAAGGGCTCCCTCCTGGGGAGGGCCAGCCACACAGCAGTGTGAGGTGTGAGAGGCGCAGTGAAACTCCCGGGGAGGGGTTAGAACAGCTCAGTGGTCCCTGGCTCAGCCAGCAGGAGCCGAATCAAGCAGCTCTGGCTAGCACCAGAGGACTATTTGAGTAATGGGATGGCTGCCTGGCTATGTTGAGGCTCCTGAGTTATAAAGGAGGAGATGTGGTTCCTGGTCCAAGAAATGGGGTCAGAATCATAGAACTTGAAGGGGCCTCAGAGATCATATAGTCCAACCCCCTTGTTTACTAAATGAGACTGAGTGACTTACCCAAGGTCACACACCTAGTGGCAAGCTGGACCTGGGACACAGGTCTCCTGCATCCCATGCTAGCACTCTTGGTGGTGTACCACCTCTGAATTAACTGCTCTAACTGCACTGCAGGAGCACACTGCATTCAGCTGTTCAATGTCTGTTCAATCCTCCATGCCAGAAGCTAGGCCATACACTAGGCAGGGAAAGGAAGAGTAGGCACAACAGTCCTCGAGGAGCAGGTGAAACATATATGAAAAATAACTCCAAACATAATGGGGTAAATGCTGTCCCAGAATCACGAACAAAGAACTGGCAACTCCAAACATGAAGCACAGACCGAACTGCCTGGGGAAGGTAGGGTGGCATCACAAATAAGGTATCCAAGGCCGAGCAAAGAAGGCACAGAGCATCTGAGGCAAAGGAGACCAACGGGCTCTGTATGGTCCCATCTACTTGTGTGTTTTGTATCCCTTTTTGGACTGTGTCCATTTCTTTCTCTGTGCTCCCAGGAAGCTGTGAAAGGGCCCAGTGTTTGCAGAGGGGTGAGGTTCAATGAAGGAATGGCAGGAGGTAAGGCTCAAGGGTAGTTTGGGGTCTAGCGGGTAAGTCTGGGTTTTGCTCTATAAGGGATGTCACATCTGTTTTATAAGGCAGTGTCTCTGGCAGCAATGGGGAAGGTGCACTGGACCAGGGAGAACATGGTGGCAGACAGACCAGTCATTAGAATGTCATGGTACAGTGTGTGTGACAGGAGACAGGATACTGGACTTGGGCTGTGACCCGCTGGAAGGGGAGAGGGCTGCTGAAGGAGAGACTGGGGAGGGGCAGAATGTCCCTGTGGCCTCCGGCTCAGATGACCAAGAGGATGGTGATACAATTCACTGGAGCAAGAACACAGCAGATGAAGTAGATTTTGGTGGGGAGATGCTGACATCTCTCAGGACATGAAGAGCTTGAGGCCCTTGCATGACAACCAGGTAGAAATGTTTAGGTGAAAGCTAGAAACAACCTGTTTCCATGAAAACTTCCCTCTAGCACTGATATATACCCCATACCTACATTTTTACAACACAGTTGCTTTGTTCCAACTGCTGGTGCTAAAGGATTTTGTGATACTGGACACTACTTACTAATGATGTAAAAGGACAAGGGGCTAACCTGCTAGGAATAAAACACTGAGGGACAAGAAAGTTGAAAGGTCTAAAGGGGCCTGTGGAAGAGGGTACAGTAAGATGGGGTAGGCAGCGAAGGGTCGGGGTAGATGGAAGCAGAACCCTGGATGGGACCAGAGGAATTCTATGGAGATGGCGATGAGACGCTGTGTGGACAAGCCCCCGCCCCGCCCCACTACCAACATGACTCCACCTCTGTGACAACAGATGATGCTGGGCTAGCTACCAGCTGTACAAAGTAGCTACCACCTTCTCCAAATCTAGGGGGAATATTTTCAAATCAAGTCCATTGGTTTCATCCCTACTCCAATTTCATGATGGAAATAATTAAGAACATTACAGAAGTCTCATGGCCAAATTACAGGAACTTGTCTATGGGATAAAGGGGCCCATATTTTAATTCTCACCTGTGAACTATTCTTCTCAAGCATTTATTTTTTGGGTCCTTTGTATCACCCTCTTAGGGCTCCACAGGATGCCCAGACTTACAGATACCTCTGTAGGAGAGGTGTCAGTGCTAACTGGCCACATAATTATGAATTTGTGCAAATGAATTAAGAGAGCAATGTGATACAGTGTACAAAAACATCTGGAGTTAGGAAGTCTGTTTGGAGCCTTAGCTATTCACTTACCAGTTGTGTGATCTTGGGCAAGTCTGAGTCTCAGTTTCCCTGTCTGTGAATTGGGGATAATGCTAATATAGTTCTAATTCCTAGTGATGATGTGAGGAGTAACCATAAGAGAACCAGTGGTGGTGGCAATAACAACGATGTAGATCATGGAGTTCTATGAACTGCAAACGAGTCCTAAATATTAGTTATTATTGTGGTACAGTGAAAGGCACACACAGGTTTTGGAGTCGGACAGACCTAGGTTCTAATCCTGGGTCCACCAGTCACTAACAGTAAAACCTGGAACTCTTTGAACTTCAATTTCCTATCTATAGAATTGGGATAGAAATACCCACCTCACTGAGTTGTCATTAAGGCAAAAGGTCACTATACATATAAACTGTAGTGTAATGGTTGGAATGTAGGTGGAACCGCAAGTTGCATTTCCTGTCTTTATGTGCTTATGGGAGGCTTCCCCAAGCTGGGTAGGGCACTCTGGGAGTAAGTGGGGGGGGGGGATGAATATGCAGAAGCAAAAGACATGGTCCCTGTCCTCAAGAAGCTTTTAGTCAGTTCAGAAGATAAAACACACACACATTAAACAATATTAAAAGAATTACAGAACAGCAGATCAACAAGCTTGAGATGATTAACAGGCAGAGCCCTGCTTTCCCTAGCTTGACAGTTCATCAATATACTCTTACTGTAATTAAAACATATTTAAAGGAATTTCTTGTCCTGTTTGGGAGTGGAAGGAGAGAGGATCTCTCACAGCTATGTGACTGTTTTTTCTGCTGGACTCCAGCCTTACTCGTCACATTCCCATCCCAACGTTTTTAATCTTCCTCTCTATCATGCAACTAACAGTCCACAAATACCCAAATGAAATCTTTGATATAAAGACTCACTCCTAAAAGGTCTGATGAATGAGCTGGTTATACTACACTGTTTCATTTAATAAGATGTTATATCTGGATATCTAGATCAGAAAGATGTGGACGGAGAATGGGAAGCATTAACGAATACCACAGAAAGGTTATTCCACCATCATCTGGGTTAGGTACATGTGGGAGGGACACAGGAGGAGGTGGGGATGCTGATCACAGGCTCCTTGCAGGAGACGGACTCAGGGCCAGACTGTGATGGCAGGGATGGACATGGATTCATGGGGAGAAAGGCATCCTAGGAGCAGAAGAATTAGTCAAGCAAAGGCGCAGAAGCAAGAGTTAGTTGTGTGCAGAGATTGGCAAGCAGGCTGGTTTGGCTGAGGTAAAGGAAAAAGAAAGCTCAAAACAGATCTGGGGTACAAAAGAGGATCTGAATGGAGACTTTGAAATCCTAGGCTGACAAGCCTGGATTATAGTTACAGAGGTATTTTTGTCTTCTATTTCATCTAAGTATTTATTAAAAATAACTCATTACAAAGTTTGAAAGCTATGAAACAGTATTGCCCTGACATGAAAAAGAAAATGTTCTAAGCTATAAGTATTCAATTTTCATACCCCTATGTGTCTAGCACAGCGCCTTGCCAACAGCAGATCCTGTGTAAGTGTTTATGGACTAAACTGAGTTGCAGTTGATGTTATCTTGTACTTTCACAGAAAGGGGAAGTATAGTGTTTTATGGGACTCCTAATAAATAAACCATGATCAAGAGAAAAGCTAGATCTTTGGGTAGAAAATTCATTTTCATCATCAAGATCTACAAAGTTAGGAAAGATATTAGCCTTCTACAGGAAATTCTGCATAATACTTTCCAAGGATTTCTTGTTCTCTGCTAGACTGTGAGCAACTTGAGGACAGAGTCCATGTCTTATCTAACTGTGATCTGCAGTATCTAGTATAGGCTGGGGACACA